TGTATTTGTTAAACACTGAAATAATACACGGCAGCTGTGCTGTGTTTGCAGCCTTCAAAGCGCCAAAGAACAGAAATAGAAAATAGTCATGAAGGCTTTTGGGGAAACAGTTCAGCTACTGCTTAAACCCAAGCATCCCAGCAATAGCCTTGTGCAGTGGAGTTAATCTGAAAGTTTGATGGTGCTCCTCGTGGCTAGAGAGAATCAGTTACCCTTCCCCCAAATTACCACTCCATGTAGAGCCACCACCCCTCCACACTACACTCTCACATGGCTCAGTACTTTCTCCCTATGTGATCAATCATCCCTTATCAGTGCTAAGAGGGGGATGTCTCTGGGGAGGTCTCCTGTTCTAACATTGAATTTTTTTTTTTTTTTTTTTTTTGTAATTAACACATTATCAAATTTCACACTGGAAACAAGATGCAATTTTTTGAGAACATGAACTCTGAATTGCTTTTTCAAGTTAAACTTTGAAGCAGAGACTTGTCAAGACTAGAAGTCTTTAAAAATCAAGAGTGGAAGTACTTAAAAAAACCCAAACCGTCACAACTACACTCTAGTTCTGCTAGGAGCTTGTGGGATGGCTGCAGGAATTCTGGGGCAAAGTGCTGCAACTTGCAAGTCCGAAGAGACTAGATTTTCTAATGTATATAAAAACTCCATAAGATTAGCAGAGGTCTATATAAAACCACAGCACACAGGTCAATCTCATGATCTATCACTAATGCTAAGCCAGTAATAACCCTCTACCCTTCCCTGATTTGCTCTTACAATCAATTTGACATGAGAAACTGGGCAGGGAAGTAAAGAGAATGACCTAACCTCGGGTTTGTATTTTTGCTATTTCAGTCTTAATTTCTTAGCTGATACCTTTCAACTTTTTTGTTATGCAATGTTTACACTTCCATCTCTTTCTTGGACATTTTCTAGAATCAGCTTTTGTCTTCTTCACCCAAGGCTGAGACAATGTGCATTTCCAAGAGAAAGCATGTGTACCTCGCTGAAATGGAGCGATTCCTGAAAAGAAGATGTTCGAGACTCCAGGTTCTTTACCACATCTCCTGGAGATACAAGAGCAACACATTTTCCAACCATTTTCTGCAGCTCCAAAATTCAGATGTGGAGATATGAAATACTGATTTCTTCTCTTAATATTTCAGCACTGGCCCCTTCTTCCCTATTGCTGACACTCTTCTCATTTTAATACCTTATCACAACCCTCTATCTATAATCTTTAGAGCACAAGGAGGTATAATATGTCTTGCACGTCAAAGGTTAAGCAACAAGAGCTATTGCAAAACAGCACAGCAAACCTCATGGGCAGAACGTACCAATACTTACAGTGGGAGATGGAAAGATCTGCACAGGAAGGAGCTGGACACCAAGAAGGCTGTAGCTCATCCTTCCAGCTTTGTGCTGTGGCACACAGCCTGTGGTGTTACACAGATTCTCCTCCCACTCACAGGCGTGGGTTTCGCCCTGTGATGTTTCATACCCCCTGTTACCACACACTTGCATGCTATTTTCATGTCTGGAACATCTCCACTCAGATATGAGGCATCCTTCCGCTCTACTGCTTGGCCACTTTCCTCTCAACCCTTTGGATTGTTTCTTTCAAAGAGATAATTCCAATTGACCATGCAACTATAACAACTAATATTAACTACTGCAACTAATATTAACTATAACAACTAATTCTTTAACTGTAAAGTTTCCCTGATCACTGATGGAAACAATAAAAGGTCAAAACTGCTTTACACTTCCCTCTGTTGATTGTTTACTTTCTCCAAGACAATTTTTAAGACTGTCTCAAGACCAGCAATACCTAATGCTGTGGAATAGCTGGATAAGAAGAAAAGCCACCCAGATAACAGAAGACTTCTGTTGCCTCACTGGGTACTTATGCATGGGATAACACCCACACAGCAATTCCCAGCTTGGGTCTAGTCAGCAGGGGGATTTTTCCCCACCTTCTTATGTCATCAGCAGGTATTTAATTCTGAAATGTTTCTGCTTCTCCTTGCTTCACTGAAATATTGATCCTTGCAGAAGAAATTAAAATACCAGATCCATAAGAGAAGAATAAGCCTTTGCTGAAACAAACCACAACAACTAGCCTTGCTTGTAGGTGTACTGTACCTACAACAGACGTTTTAAGGTGACAGCCTTTTGAAATCCCATCATTTTCACCTGCCCAAAAGAGATCAGACACCATTAGGACTTCACAGGATGCCTTTATGCCTATTTCCAGGCTGAAAAGGCAATCTTATTTATATTACTACAATGGGAAAATAAATGTAGCGTGTACATCTGCAGGAAATAGCACTAATTAAAAACCTGCCTAGTCAGGGAATCTCCATTTTGACAAACAAAACTACATCAATTTAAACAAAGGGTTTAACTTACCGTGTCAGAGTGAGTCTGGGGTGACTGGAGAGGACCGAGGGCACTTGAATATGCTACTGCCTTGGCAGGCCCCATGGCCCAAGTCAGATGATTTTTTTTGTCGTGGCTTAATGCCAGTAGACAGCTAATCCCTACACAGGCACTCTCACTCCCCTCCAGTAGGATGGGGGAGAGAATCAGAAAGTAAAAATGCAAAAACTTGTGGGTTGAGATGAAGACAGCTTAATAATTTAAAAAAGAGGAAAACTACAACAGAGACGAAAAAACCCAAGAAAAACAAGTGATGCAAAAGAAAACAATTGCCCACTACCAACTGACCTATGCCCAGCCAGTCCCCAAGCAAAGACAGCCCCAACCAACCTCCACCCCCCAGTTTTATTGCTGAGTTCAATGTCATATGGTGTGGAATATCCCTTTGGTCAGTTGGGGTCATCCTCTCCCAACTTCTCGTGCACTCCCAGCCTACTTGCTGCCAGGGCAGTGTGAGAAACAGAAAAGCCCTTGGTGCTGCGCAAGCACTGTTCTGCCATGACTAAAACACCCCTGTGTTATCAACACCATTTACATCACAAACCCAAAACATAGTCCCATACAAGCTGTTAAGAAGAAAATTAACTCTATCCCAGCCAAACCCAGTACATTTTTACAGGGAAAGAGGGGAACAAGGTATGAACTTGCTTTCTAACAATCTTCTGCTTGACAAAAATGTCCTAACATTGACACTGCTTTAAAAGAGACAGCCCAAAGGCTCCAGCACAGCATTTTCACTGCCATGGGTTGACTTCTTCTTTTCAAGGACTTTTACAATCCTGCCCCTGCTCTGACTTCCACATTCTTGCCAATGCCCACACTAATGCAAATATGAGCTCACTAGAGCTACCTGGTATAGCAAAGATGCTTTACTATATAAACATGACTTGAGTGTCTCTCTGGGCCTGAAGTGTTTAAATTCAGATGAAGAAGAGACATCCACTTCTTTCTCTCCTCTGTCAGCTGTCCTTCCCACGTGGAGAGGAGCAGGCTATCTACTTCATTCCTTTCTGGAAACTCCAGTTACAGAGAGCCCTGACTTCAGAGCTAAGTCCTTTCCCCACCCTCTCACACCTTCATAGAGGAAGCATTCAGATTCACTTTTTCTAACGTACTTCTGCTCTGCTGACTACATAGAGAGTTCAAGCTCCTAAACTGGATGTAGAAGGTGGTATCTCTGCCTGAGTAGCTAATGAGGAGAAATGAGGGCTGAGATATGCAAGAAAAATGACAGGTTGAAGCCCAGCAATAATCCTAACTAAAAATATACTAGTTGGAATCTACTGCTTCTCTGTAAAAGAAGGAGGAAAACTGTGTGAGAGAGGAGCAAACAAGGGTGGGAGTGCAAATCATTCCAAGTGCAGCAAAGCTTACAGTAGCTGGAAGGATTAGTGTATCATTTCCTGCCATGTGATGCACAAAGCAAGACAAACTCGAGAATGCAAGATGGAAAAAAGACTATTGTGTGGTTTTCCACATCGGAAGCAACTGATGGGATGTCAGGGACATATTCTGGAATTAAGATAAACTATTGCTGGATGTGTTAATCAGATGGGCTGTAGACCACAGCAGTCCCAGTGTGGGAGTGGTGCCCTTCAGCAGAAGGGCAGGGTACCCTGTATGAGGGTGGCAACAGCTTCTGCTGCCCCCACTGAGCATGAATCATGCCCCTGTAATGGGACTTTGCCAAGAGACCCAACACCTCTGCATCAATGGGCAGCACCCGGGGCCCAGCAGACAGGCAAAAGTGTCCTGATCCAACACCTGTGTGAGGACCCACCAGCAGTTCATGAATTTTAAAAGATATCTATTACACTGAGGAGAAAAACAGCTTGGTGCTTGTTTGTATGAGATGGGGTAAGAAGCTTGCCTGGCCTATGTCTGTGAAACAGGGGTGCTGCTCAGTCACTCTGCAACAGGTCGCATGTGCCTCAGCCTTCAGCAGCTCTTCCAGCTTGTTTGAATTCTCTATCGATTACCGAGGGTCTTAAAAAGAAATGAGATTTCCTTTTCAGTCATGTAAAGAAGACACTGGATCCAAATGAGGAAAATCTGCTAAAGAAATTTAGCATGGGAACAATTTTCACTATGCAGCTACTATCACAACCCTCGAATTTTGCCTTAAAAGGTAAACTAAATTCTCTCTAAGAACTGCCAGTCTCAGGACCGGAGGTGGAGGTTCTCAGATCTAAGCCCGGAATTTGAGTCTGGATTAAATCCAGATGTCAGGATCACATCCACTCCCTTGGAAAATTCAGATCTCAATATAGACAGTGGCTTGTGCATGGAGAGTTTTTCTGTCTTGCCCTCTCATGACACTGACTGGGTGGGAAAAAATTAGGAATATGCACAGCTCTGACTTCAGAAGTGGGCAAAAGGGATTAAATGTTGATAATGGTACAGTGATATGCTTTCATTTGGACAGGCTGGGTGCAGAGGAGCTTTGACTCTTGCTTTTCTGCTGAAGTATCTAAATGCTCTCTTAAAAGCACAAAATTAATTAAAGTTCAATGGAAGGAGCTAACTGCTGACAGGTGTGAGGTCAGGTGAAGTCTACAAACCTGTGAATCAAGTTCTGTTTCCAGGAATATTGAGCAAAACATGCTTGAGGGAAGTATTGACGGTCACGTACACCCAAGCATATATGGTTGTCCTGGTTCGGGCCATAACATGGGAAGATACCATCTTCAGCAGCAACTCTTCATAGACATCTGCAGAAATCAACTTGACCTTATGACAGGCAATTTTTTTTCCCGTTTCAATTTCTATATGGGAAGTACTTTCCATGGCTTCTCATCCACCCCCCAAACTGCTGGAATTAAACCTTTTTTCCCACCCCTCCTGCAATTCCTAGCAAAGAAACAGGCGAATCATCAGAATGGAATGGACTTTAGAAAACAAAAATCAGCAGGGGAGTAGCTGAGAGTCTTCCCTTCATTACATGGGCCTTTCTGGCAGATCAAGCTTCCTCTGCTGAATCCATCTGGTACGCACCATCTCAGGTACCAGCTCCAAAGACTGCTCCAAAACATGGTTACAGTTAGGAGCTACCCACCTTCTGACCTAAACTTTGTCAAGGCCAGCTGAATAAATTTGTTCTCACACCAGTGCTATGCCCACAGCTTAAACCATTTTCCTTCTTTATTACAGGCTACTCCGCCCTTTCCATACTCACAGGCAGTCACTGTTTCTCCCCTGCCCACTGTACCTGCCATCTCTCTCCAGTCAGGCTACGTGAGCCTGCTTTCTCTCTCAGGAGAGGCTCTCTGTTGTCCCATTGGCTGCTTAAGGTACTGTGTCCTTTGTCACAGTCTGAAGTCCTCCTTCTGGAGTGTGGCAAAGAGCATGTGTGACACTTCATGCTAGTTACTCCTGAGCCCTGTAGGATGACGTTAATACATCACCACAATTAACATCTTTAAATACCATTTAATTAATCCACTGAAGCCCTAAGAAATTTTAATTAATGGCAGCTTTATTTACTTCACCTTCAACATGTAAGATTTCCAAAGGGAGGAAACTGGCAGAGCAGTTGACAAGACACCCTTTTCCCCTGACTTTTCCCTGTTCCGCTGGCCTCAGATCTCACAGCCATCTCTGTGCACTGACAAGGACATGTTCCTTCGGCAGCTCTGCAAGATGAGGGTCAAGTTAATGTCATTCCATTGCTATTTAGCTCTGCGCAATCCCTGTCATGTACAAGGTTAAACAAATTCACCAAAATCAAGCTCTTAAGAAGTGTTATTGCGGTGTCTGATGAATAGCACAGATTGTAGAGAAGTGTGACAGGAAAACCGAGAGTTCTGCTCCACTTGGAGATCCCCATATCGTAGCCAAGGTCGGTGTGTCTCAGTGGCCAACCTTGAATATGTTTAAAAAACAGATGCTCTTTGGGCTTCAGACTTCACATGCACTTTTGAATACAAAACCACGAGTTTCTGAATTCCAGCAAGAGAACAGACTAAGGTACTTCAACCCTCAACCTTGCAACATAGTAAAATGTTGCTATTAGGATTATCAGGATAAATAAGGATTATCAGATTTTTGTGGGATTGAACCTGCTGTGGCAGGTGTCCATGCAGAAGAGCTCTTCAGCCTGTTGCAGTATTCTGCTAGCATATTTGCACAACATCTTTCCCTGGTGCCTCTTACAACAAAACATATATTTCCTCTGTCCCTTTTAAGTATCATAGTCAATTAATAAAGGAAGAATAGGAGGAGAAGGAATAATACTATCAACATACTATAAATCAAGCATATAGTAATTGATTTCTGTTGTTAAAACTGAAATTAATCCAAGAAGCACTGGAGCAATCCCTTAGGCTCAGACGTAGTAACTGTGCTCTGAGAACACTTGTCAGGTATCTACATGGTAAAATGTTGTAATGTTTCCTCATTTTTAGAGTAAATGATAGGATACAAAGTTTCAGGGTAGGGATTCAACTGTTAACGGTCAGGGGAGTGGGGATAGCAGTAATCTGAAACACAGATCAGGACTCTTTAAACTTCAAGTGCTAATTATTATAGTTTGCAAAATGGAAATATTTGTGAAAGTGTGTAAATAAGTGACAGACAATTGTAAAAAAAGAGCAATTTTCATGAGCAAACGGAACTAATAATTTGAAGCACTGTTCTGGTATTAACAAATGACCAAGACCCTTGCTATCATACTGCTATACAGGCTTGGGTCAAATACCATAGCCTTGGTTTAATCATATATTTACAGAACAAATTAAAGCTAGCAGATACCTAGTTTAACGATGTCCACTGATGATAGGCGGTTTCTTAATGCTAACTAAATGCATTACAGTGTTGGAACAATGAATTGAATTGTTTAAGATCTAAGCATTGAGATTTATTAAACAATATTGTCTTAAATTCTGAATAAGCAAGAAGTGAACTGTGTTTATAAAATCATCTAGCCCTACTAAAACCCAATTCTCATGCCTCTGCCTTGTAAAGCCCTATCTACTTTTTTCAGGGCTCCACGAGGAGTACCTGAGGACAGAACTCTGTCCCGTTTCCTACCTCAGAGCTTAGTAATGTGCTGGAGTTGAGAGCAAGTCTGCCATTTGACTATGGTTTATGGTTGCCTTCCTCTCAATCTGCTTAGAACACAAAGTTTACCTACTGCAGCCCACATCCTCAAAGTGAGTCAGTGATGAAGACAAGGGGGTCAGGCAAATATCCTGCTGGTCTTCCCCCTGCCCTCCAACAGAGGAGTTATCTAAAGATTCATTTGCAACATCTAAATACTTACCAATACTTTTGGAGTGCCTTTTGTATTCAAACTTGAGTTCAGCAGCTACAGCCCTATGTCGGTTTTGTATTTCCCTAATCCCTCTACTACAAGCACCTTCTACTAACTACACAACATGACAACATGCGAGATACAGTCAAGTAACAGCAAGCTTTAAAAGAGCTTTCCTCAAAACTCCGTACCTCTTACAAAAAACACTCTTGCCTCAAAGTGCCCGAGCCAGCTCTCAGCTGGCTGAGGGATGCGAGGCCAAGAGCAGCAGTACTCTGCCTGAATCCTGTCTTCTGTGAAATTGTTTCGCAAGATGGGAAAAAAATGCACCATCATCTTCCTTCTCCATTCTTTCTACACTTCAGCAGTTAGTATATGCTTACAGGAATGAGTACTACTGCAGCTCAGATGGCCAGATATATAAGCAGAGCTCCTTTTTATCACCTGTAAATATTCTTTTCAACAGATAAACTTTAAAGTCCATTGCAAACCGGAGGTTGCAGGATTTGATTTTACTTGCTGTTGTCGTTCTCACAAGAGTCTTACTCTTCTTTGAAACCTGGGCAATGATGCCACGCTTCAGAAACATGGTGGTGGAAGTCTGAGCATCACCAGCAGGGAAACTGTTGGATTCATACCGGCTGCAGACCAGGTGAGAAGGGTTCAGGATCCCACCACCACCCCTGAGACTGAGACACCTGCTGCTTCCCAAGCCCCTGGGCATGGAGTCAGAGGTGTGTGTTTTGGAAGAAAACACGAGATGTGTCTGAGCAGCACTGGGTTTCCCCACACAGCTGACTCAGAGCTTGTTTTCCAATGAACGGGCGCGCTGGGGGGCCCCAAATCTACAGTCCTGTGGGTAAGGAACTCGCAATACTTCTGGGAAACAAGCGCTGCATAGCCTGGAGCTGAGGGGAAACCCAGAGCAAGACAACCACCCGCCTCCTCTTCCCGAGTGGGCCATGCCTCCCTTGGGGGCCGTCTCCTCACAGCCCCCCGGTGCCGGCTGCCCCCTCACACACACAGACACACCCCACACGCCCCCCAGCAGCTATTCGGACCCGCTCCGTACCCTCACGGCGCCCCGGGAGCCGCCCGAGAGCCCCGATCCATCCCCGCGCGAGTCTCTCAGAGTCACCCGAGGATCCCCCCCCTCCCCCGATCCCCACGGGAGCCCGCCCGCCCCCGGGAGCCGCCTTCAGCCCCTCAGGCTCCGTCCCGCGCCTGCGCCCTGTGGCGGCGGCAGCGCGCATGCGTCCTGCCCGGCAGCGCTATATAGGCAGCGGCGGAGCGGCCCGACAGCGCTGCCCGCCTCTCTCGTCCCTTCCGCGGGGGATCGCTCACGCCAGGCCCGGCCCGGTTCTTCCCGTCAGGTCAGCGAGGATGGAGGCGGTGGTGCGGCGCTGCCCGTTCCTGGCCCGCGTCTCGCAGGCTTTCCTGCAGAAGGCCGGGCCCTCCTTGCTCCTCTACGCCCAGCACTGCCCCCGCATGATGGAGGCGGCCCCGCCGGCCGCCGCCCGCGGCCTGGCCGTGTCCGCGGCCCGCGGGCAGCAGGCGGAGGAGGAGAGCCCCGCCGCCCGCCGCGGTGAGTACGGGCTCGGCAGCCAGCCCTCCCCTCAGGCAGGGTCACCGGGCAGGGTCACGGCAGCCGTAGTGAGGCGCGTTCCTAGGGACAGAGTCGCCCTTAAGCCAAAAAAAAAAAAAACCAAAAACCCCAAACTATATCATAGAGGGAAACTTCTGGAATGAGCAACTTCCAGGTAAGAGTTGCTTAATCCTTTAAATGGCTGTGGTAACTGAGCATGGGCACGGCGTAAATCGGGCACGGCCTGTTGGGGTATTATCCTGCGGTAAGCTCCAGTTGGGGGCTCCGCGATCCTGGATCGCAGAGCTGGGGTTGCTCGAGTTAAATAGTTCAGAGTGGTTTGTGCTGGAGTAATTCCAAAGGTAGTTGATAGCAAATCGTGATCTGGTGTATTAAAATGATGGAGTTAAAGTATTTTCCCTTCTCTGTCCCTCCACTTCAGAGGTCAAAAATGCCAAAGAGGTGGCCCAGGCAAATACAGATGGAACCCAGACACCTACTGGCCACCCACCTGCTGGTGCTACCCAGAGCTCTGCCACCAAATGCCCATTCCTGGCAGCTCAGATGAATCACAAGAACAGTAATGTTTTCTGCAAAGCCAGCCTAGAACTCCAAGAGGATGTGCAGGAAATGCAGGCAGACAGGAAAGGTATGTATTCTGTGTGCTGAAGCATTGGTGCCTTCCAAGAGCTTCCAGTGTCTGACTTTGCTCTCGAGTGTGACAAGTCTAACAGTCACCGTTTAAATTGTGCGGGTAGGATTATGGGAGACTGCAATAAAAAGCTGTTGGAGAGCATAGGTGTTAATGTCATACCTGCATTATTGCACTGTGTTTTCCCCGGAGTGATTTTGGTGTGGGAATACTGTATGCTGTGTTTTGGCAACGCTGGCTCTAAATGAGTGAATTGAGCTGTTACAGTTACATCCAAAGCAGATGCTTAGCACTAGAGAGAGCTTTACAGGGGTGCTGGTCTATACAAAGGTGGTATATCCAGAGAGGGAAGAAACTGGGTCGAGGTACTAGGCAAGTAATAGCACAAATCCGAGCTGGAAAGCAAACAAACTTTTTTGGTTTATGGAACTAAAGGGTGTTGGCTGGCTTGCAATCCTGATGCGGAAGGGCTGTCCTTCAAAGGAAGGAACTTCTCGCCAATATCAGTAAAGCCTTGCTGCCTGTCTCAGGAAGCTTATTTTACTTTTCTGTTTGTTTTCTGTGGCATAGTTAAAAAAAAAAAAAAAGTGTGCTAACTGAATAAAATACTAGGAACAAAAAGGAAGCTGCTGACCAGAACTCTGTCTTCGGTTAGGTGTGTACCAACTCTTTCAGATAAATGCTGTAGCTATATAGAGTGGTTTTCTGAGTCATGATGAATCAAATGTGTTGGAAGACAATTACATGTTGTATTGTCATTGATTAGCAAGGCTTTCCTTTTGTCTCATACAATGCAAAATTGTAAACAAAGTAGTTGATCCTAACAGGAGCATGTGGATTCAGGCATATGCTTCCTAATGAATGAAGAGTTAGAGTTACTTAAAACATTTGCGTTGCTGAACTCAACTTCATTTTGTTTCAAACTGATTAAGTTCACTGGAATTTATTACAACGTCTGTAGGGACGGAATTTGCCAAAATACCAACTACTTCTTCAGTAAGGAACACTGAGACTGAGGAAGAAGAGCGGAGTGGCTTGCTCAAGAAGTTTAAGGATATTGTGCTGAAGCAAAGGCCAGAAAGTGTCTCTCATCTGCTTCAGGATAACTTGCCAAAATGTAAGGTTGTCTGGCAAAACCCCCACAGGCCTGGTCTCTTGTAGTTATTTCCTGTGTACTTAAGTCTCTGTCTCATTTCAGCCATATCCACCTTCCAGTATGATCAATTCTTTGAGAAAAAGATAGATGAAAAGAAAAAGGATCACACCTACCGAGTATTCAAAACGGTGAACCGAAAGGCACAGATCTTTCCCATGGCAGATGACTATACTGATTCTCTGATCACCAAGAAAGAGGTGTCTGTCTGGTGCAGCAATGATTACCTGGGGATGAGTCGTCACCCTCGTGTGTGTGGAGCAGTTATGTGAGTATTCTTAAGAGGCAGTTTCAAGCTATCGTGCCCTGCAGAAGCTTGTGTGGGAAGGCTTCTGAAGAACTGACTTCTGATCTGTGCTACAGAAGCTGCTTCTGATACTATTCTTGGTATATAATTAAGCTTACATTCTTCCCTTGAGCTGGGGTAGGTAACTTAGTATTTAGCTCCAGTGCTGCAGTATATCTGTCAGTCATTGACCCTGCTCCTTGGATTTTCCTTGGAAGCCCCCAGATGTTACCAGATAGGTACAGCTGCAATATACCATCCAGTCTGGTAACTGATTTCTTAGCTTATCAGATTCCTGAGTTGTGCAGGTTGCTCAAAGACCTTAAACCTAACAGCTGCTTTTTGCAGCTGGTTCCTTTTTAGAACAATACCGATTTTGTACTAGAATGTTTTTGGCAATGATATGTCATGCAGTAACACTAATGCCTCTCTGTGGGCCCTCTGCAGGGATACACTGAAACAACATGGTGCTGGAGCAGGAGGCACAAGAAATATTTCAGGAACAAGTAAATTTCATGTCGACTTGGAAAAAGAACTAGCCGATCTTCATGGAAAAGATGCAGCACTGTTGTTCTCATCTTGCTTTGTAGCCAATGACTCCACTCTCTTCACTCTAGCTAAAATGCTGCCAGGTGAGATCTCAAAGCGCACCCCCTTGTTTACCACAAACCCACAACCTTGCCCTAAGCAGTTGGGAGTACATTTTAAAAATGGCTACCCAAAGTGAGGCTTGAACCTACTTGATCAGCAAAGTATGGTTGGGGTTTCTTTAATGCCATACTGAAATTATGTTCTGCTCATGGAAATCATAGTAGCAGCCTACTGAGATTGAGGTCTAGAAGCTAGGAACTGCAGAATTAGTTAAACAAAAAGTATGGTCTTCTGCTCTTGCATTTAAATTCCACCTGAAAATGAGGCAGCAGCAATTTAGTGTTGTTCCACCTGTGGGTGTGAACTTACCTCTCTCTTAACTTCAGAAGTTAGCAGAGTTAGATAAAAATATTAAGGACTTGGAAAAACTCTTCTGTATTCCCTTAAGCTCAAGTTTGTGTTAGTTTAAACACCTGAAATAAGCCTTAAATATTATTCTTGCTATCTGTAACTTGCTCTTTTAATCAAGAGGATTACTTCCTAGAACATGCTACCCTTGCTGCCTGAACACTTCCCATGCATAAAGCACTGCTGGGAATCAGTTAATGCTTTCTATACTTAAAGTGTAACTGGGCTGTTTCCTCAGGCTGTGAGATCTACTCTGATTCTGGAAACCATGCGTCCATGATCCAAGGGATCCGTAACAGCAGGGTGCCAAAACATATATTTCGCCATAATGATGTCAACCATCTTCGAGAACTATTGAAGAAATCTGATCCGTCTACCCCTAAAATTGTTGCGTTTGAAACTGTTCACTCAATGGATGGTAAGTTGACATCAAACCCTTCTCTCTTTCTGGTGCAGTTAGTGCTCAGATCTATGTTTTAGGTCAAAAAGTGTACAGTGCTATGAGGGTTTATATGAAAACAGTCTTCTGAAGTGCCTGGTGTTTGGGGGTACTTCTACTACTTATCCAAGCTGAATACAGGGAATCCTGAACTGCCAGTTACTGTTGTGGTTCCTAGGTGCAGTCTGTCCCCTGGAAGAGCTGTGTGACGTGGCCCATGAGCATGGGGCAATCACTTTTGTGGATGAAGTGCATGCTGTGGGGCTGTATGGAGCTCGAGGTGGTGGTATAGGAGACCGGGATGGCATCATGCACAAGATGGACATCATCTCTGGAACCCTTGGTATGCATGGCCTGGCACTTTTACAGAAGCTAAGACAGCAAAGCTTCTGAGCAAGCAAATTAAGTGTGTTAACTCAAAACCAGTTTATTCAAATGAACTTCCTAAGAGCTGTTGGGGGCTAGAATTTTTCAAAAAGCCCAAAGGATTTAAGTACGCCCCATAATTTGAAAAGCTTGTGCTAAGGTCTTTACATTGCCTTACAAATCAGTTTAAGGTAGCATTGTTTTTTTTTTTCTTTAAACAAGCTAGCAAAAAGTCCTCCAGTGACATATTATACAACTCAAGAATAAATTCAGGTGAGAATGCTAGTAGGGTAGTACTCCTATATTTAGTAGCACTTAGTTCTTTTTATGTGAAATAGTGTTCCTAATCTAGAAACTCGAGATGGGGAGTTATGTAAAGAGATTTGGCAAGAACTGAAGCAACTGCTATTATCTGAGTAGAATGCAGGCTTAGGAGTAAGCTTACTGCTGCAAAATGAAAAGTCGTTTAAACAACAACTTCCAAAACATGAATACAATTTACTAGGAAAGTTCATGGCTTCGAAACTCACAATCTTGAGTTACAGCCTACCAGAAGCATTTACCAGACACTCCAGTTCTATCTGTGTCTCTGTTCTGGTACCGTGAACATTTGGAAAGGGGGGCTGGTATTGACCACATAATCACAG